GTAAGTGTGTGCTTTCTGTGTGTGTGTTTTTTTTTTCTTTTCTTTTCTTTCTTTCTTTGTTTTTCTTCTACTGCTGCTTCTTTCTTTCTTCTTTTTCTTTCTTCTTATTCTTCTTCATTTTTTTATTTTGTGTGAGTGTTTTCTTCTCCTTTTCTTCTTCTTCGTTTACTTCTTTCTCCTTTTTTCTTCTTCTAATACCTCTTCTTCTTCTACTTATTTTCTTTCTTCTTCTTTCTACTTATTTTTTTCCTTCTTCCTCATTTTCTTTTCCGTCTTCATTTTTTGTGTTGGTGGGTCGTGGGTGTATTGTTGTGCGTTGCATGTGCAAGTTGTTTTCTTTGATAGTGTTTTACTTTGATTTTATTTGCTTTTCTTAATTTTTCACTCTTTTACTTTTATCTCTTGATTGTTTTTAAGTTCTTTTTTCTACTTTTACCGGCTTCTGTCATTTCCTTTTCATCTTTTTCTTCTTCCTCTTCTTCTTCTACTAGTAATACCTAATTTCCTCATTCTCTTCTCTTCCTATCTTTATTTAATTTTCCCCGATTTTCCCTTCTCCTTCTCCTTCTTCTTTTCTATCTTCTTCGTTTCCTCTTTTTGAAATTCACATCTCTATACAATAGAGTACAAATAAAGATGTTTACGTCTATAATCATGTCCGTCTGCATTGTCAGTATAATTACGTCAAATGCTAATGTTTAATTAATTAATCTAAAGTCAAGAATATTCGAAACTTTTTTGCAATTCTTAGAATGAACATCATTGGATTTCCCAGAGAGCAAGTCGAACAAAGTTGGGGGGAAACACAATACAAAATTCTCATTGTTTAGATCTTTTTTTGCTCAACATATCACCGGTTAATTAAACTATTGTATTTTTGTTTGGTTTAAAACATATCATTCGATTAAAATATTTTGTTTGTTTAGCTTAACCTGTCTGATTACGACTCAAAGAAAATATGGTGAATGTGAGTGTTTGTGTGTGAGGGTGAGTTCGTATCTACATAGATATTTATGCCAACTTTTCAGACGCACAAACACTCACGCACATAAACACACCCACGCACACAGACGCGTACACACATATTCAGACACACACGCATATAAATACACGCACACACACAAACGCATACACACAACACACACACACACACACACACACCCAACACACACACACACACACACACACACACACAACACACACACACACACACACACACACACACACACACACACACACACACACACACACACACACACACACACACACACACACAACACACACAAGCGAACATAAAACTACGTACACTTTTTATTTCCCCAACTGTTATATATTCCAAGGATAAATCTTGAATAAGGGGACATAAGGTCTCCCTCAGGGCCTGTAGGAGTCTCCCCTGAACTTTCACTTCCTTTCAGCCGATAGAAAATGGATCGATTGACAGGACGGAATATCTCTAAATCACGCACTGGAAACCTCTGAGCTGTTATTATTGCCCACCGGAGAGCAATAAAATACTCGAAATGTCAAAGTACAATTTAAGAATAGACAAGGGGCAAGATGCGAGGGTGAGAAGTGAATAAACGAATAAGCAAAATAATATAAAGAAAAAAATACAAAAAGAAAAAGAGACTTTCTACTTTTTTCTCCCTTTTAAAAATCTTCCCGTCTTTTTTCTTTGACCCCGCGCCCTCTCCCCCCTCCCCCCCCATCCCCATCAGATTAAGAATAGACAAGGAGCAAAATGCGAGGATAAGAAATAAATAAACGAATAAACAAAACGATATATATAGAAAAAAAAAAAAGCAAAACAAAAAAAAAAAGAGATACTTTCTACCCCTTTTTTTCTCCCTTTTCATCATAAAATCTTCCCCGTCTTTTTTCTTTGACCCGCGCCCCTCCCCCCTCCCCCCCCCACCCCCCCCCTCGTCAGAAGAAAGGGAGACCTCCAGCACCCTCGCCCTCATTACTAAACCGTTAAAAGGAGTTTTGATATCTTTTAACGATTTCTAAAGTTAGGTATACAAAGCTGTCTCGGGTTTCTAAGAGTCTGGGAGAGAACTGGAGAAGTTTTACTGTGTTTGTTCGAGCTGTTTTTGTTGTTGTTGCTGTTGTGTTTTTTTTTGTAGAAAGCCTTTTTGGGTTGTTTTATTGAAAACTTTCTTTTGTTTCTCTCCCTTCATTGTTCTGTAAGCGTTTCATGTCTGTCTGTGGGTGTGTTGTCTGTTTGTCACTCTCTCTTTCTTTCTCTCTCCTCTCTCTCTCTCCTTCTCTCTCTCTCCTCTCTCTCTCTCTCTCTCTCTCTCTCTCTCTCTCTCTTCTCTCTCTTCTCTCTCTCTCTCTCTTTCTCTCTCTTTTCTCTCTCTCCCCTCTCTTCTCCTCTCTCTCTCTCTCTCCTTTCTCCCCCCTCTCTTCTCTCTTCTCTCTCTCTCTCTCTCCTCTCTCTCTCTCTCTCTCTCTCTCTCTCTCTCTCTCTCTCTCTCTCTCTCTCTCTCCTCTC